TACGGGACGAACGAGGGCGCCCGCGAGGGCTGCGCTAAGGGACGAACGGGGGGCCCATGGGGGGGGGCGCGCTACGGGACGAACGAGGGGCCCACGGGGGGGGGGGGGGCGCGCTACGGGACGAACGAGGGGCCCGCGGGGCCGCGCTATGGGACGAACGAAGGGCCGTAAGGGGCCGCACTATGGGACGAACGAGGGGCCCGCGGGGGCCTTGCGAAGGCACGAACTGGGGGGGCCGGGGGGGGGGGGGGGTGGTGCGTACGAAAGGACTTGGCGCGTCGGCCTACTGAGCGCATCGGGGCGTCAAGCTACGAGGCGTTTACGAGCTACGAGCGACGGGCGGTGGTGAGCTCATAGGAATGAAACTAGCTCTAAACCATGTTAACGAGTGAACGGAATGAGGAATGACTAGAACGAAGCGGTACAAGGAAACATATAGCAAACCCTAAAGGGGGTTGTACCCTCTACTGCATAACTCACTGTAACACCTAGACTAGACTAACAAACTATAACAAGTATAGTTTGACACTTCTGGCGAAGCCGACCTCGGAGGTGGTATCCCGAGGTCGACGTGGGCGGATCAGGTGCAGTCGTGGGCACGTGGTCGGCTTGGCGTCGGTGCTGTGCAGGTGACGAGGCACAGCACGCCAATCAACTGCGAGCACCTGCGAAGCGGGTGCGCTGCTGTCCTGCGCGTGCAACGCTGTGCAGCCGCCTTGCTGCAACGTTGGCACGCCGTCGACTTGCAGCATTGGCAGATCGTGACTTTGCACTGCTGGAGCGCGGTCGACCATGTCGTGCTGGAACGCGGTCGACCGTGCTGCGCTAGCAGTCGACCTGCTTGCATGCTAGCTCCTGATGTAGACAGTATTGCTTTGCGATTGTCAACTATTCTTGTGAACTTTTGCTAGTGAAACACTTGCCAGCTTTCCCTGTGAATGCGCAAGTAGAGTGAGCACAAGCGAACGACTAAGGAACGAACGCTACGATCACTCCTACCCCGTGCCTACCCTGCAGACTAGCTCCCGTTGTTAGAGTTATCTCCGCAGTCGCGGCCACCACGACTACCCCTCTAACCGTCTGGGTAGACGCTCCCCAGACCACGAGGCCCCCACTGCTGCGGAGGGTGCCACTGCTGCGGAGAACGCCACGGCTGCTGGGGTCCCCACTGCTAAAACTGCTGCTGTCCCTGCCGCTGTAAGAACCGAGTGGATGCCATGGTAAAAGGCTAGCTGGGCAACAGGCGCGAGGAACTGCTGAAGCAGGAGTGGCTGGAGCTAGGAACTACTGGAGGGAGAAACAACTAGGACCACCAGGCTAGAAACGGTTGGCACGAGGAGCGGCTGGAGCGAGGAGTGAGAAAGGACTATAGGCGGCTGGAGCTAGAACGGCTGGAGCTGAAACGGTTGGCGCTAGAAAGGCTGGAGCGAGATGTCAACATACATTTTATATGTATTGTTTAGGTTAGTCTAGGTGTTACATTCATATTACCTAGGGCTTGCTATATCTTGTTGTGCCTTCTTTTTCCTTAGTCAATTCCTTCACCCGTTTAGACTCTTGATATGGTATAGAGAACTAAGTTCCTATGGGCCCACCGCCCCATGCCCCGACTTAGCCCGTAGCGCCCTAATGCCCAAAGCGCCCCGTCACCCTGTCAAACTATAACTGTTATAGTTTGTATTGTTTAGTCTAGGTGATGTGCACCTTGGTTAGTGCTAGGGTTAGGTTTGCTATATCTACCCTTGTACTTGCTCATTCTAGTCATTCATTATTCGAGTTCTATCTTTGACATGGTATAGAGCTTAGTTCGTTCCCATGGGCCCACCTCTGCACGCCCCATTCGTTGCTTGATAGCCGCTCGTAGCGCGCTCGTCGCCCGTTGGCTCGCTCGTTTTAGGGTTTCACATGATAGCCGCCCAATAGCCGCTCGTTAGTCGCCCGCCCGCCGTCCGTTTGCCATCCGTTCGCCACCTGTTAGCCGCCCGTTGCTCGTAGCGCCCTAGGCAGGTCCCGTCACCCCAGGGGCCTTAGTTCGTCCCGTAGCGCCCCCCCCCCCCCGTGGGCCTTAGTTTGTCCCGTAGCGCGGCCCCCGCGGGCCCTTCGTCCGTCCCGTAGCGCGCACCCCCCCCCCCCCCTACGGTCCTGAGATCGTCCCGTAGCGCGGCCCACACGGGCCTTAGTTCGTCCCGTAGCGCCCCCCCCCCCCCCCCCCCCCGCGGGCCTTAGTTCGTCGCGACCTAGGTCGCGCGTCACCCGTCGCCCGTAACGCCCGTCGCCCGTCGCCCATAGCGCTCGTCGCCCGTCGCCCGTAGCACCCGTCGCCCATTGATTTTTCCCCTCCCGTCGCCCGTCGCCCATCGATTTTTCCCCTCCTGTCACCCGTCGCCCGTCAGTTTCCTATGCGCGCCCCACCTGTCGCTTGTCGATCGACCGTAGGAACAGGCCCCGTGGCCCCTTTTTCGCTAGCAGGCCCCGTGGCCTTTCGGTAGCGACCCACGCGGCCCGTGACCAACGGCCCCATGGCCCGCGCTAGCTGGCCCCGTGGCCCCCCACACGCTCCACTTTGTTTCCCGCCCGTACCCTGTCTGCCGCGTTTCACTACCACCTCGATCTAGTTCAGTCCGCGGCAGTAAACCCTTACAGCCGCCACAACCGCTCTCCACCCCTTTCAACCTCACACAACCGCTCCAAAACCGCTCAACCGCACTTAGCTGCACCAGATTCTCACCCGCACTAGACTACTTTCAGCCGCGAGAAACCGCCCTCCACCGCACTAGACCACTCCCAACTGCGAGAAACCGCCCTTCACCCCACTGGACCACTCTCAACCTTTCCCAACTGCCCTTCACCACACTCAACCGCACCAGATCGTTCTTACCACTCTAGACCTCTCTCAACAGCACCAGCAGCAGCTTCCACTGCCGCCAGTAGCACCAGCAGCAGCTTCCACTGACGCCAGTAGCACCAACAGCAGCTTCCACTGCCGCCAGTAGCACCAGCAGCAGCTTACACTGCCGCCAGCGCACTAGTAGCAGCCTAGACTACCACCAGCAGAACCAGCAGCAGCGTAGGCTGCCCCCAGCAGATTGAGCAGCAGCATAGGCTACTCCAGCGCACCAGCAGCAACTTAGGCTGCCGCCAGCGCACCCCCCCCGTACTAGCTTGCCATGTCGTTGTGGCGACAGCCGCAGCAGCAGCAGTGGTCGCAGCAGCAGCAGTGGCAGCAGCACCGGAGGCCGCAGCTGCAGCAGTGGCGGGTTCAGCAGCCGCACCTGCAGCAACCTCCACCGCGGGGCCCTGTCGGACCCGGCCAGTACACACACCGGTACGTGGGAGCTGCAGCTGCTATTGAGACTTGTGTTTTCAGTCTTGGTGCGTGTGTAGTTTCTGGTCCAGCCGCCTCAGAGGTTCTTAGTGTGGGAGCTGCAGCTACCACTAGACTAGTACCAGCCTTTGTCGCTGGCTCGGGTGCGACCTCACCAACTGCACGACTTTCCTTCACCCTAGACTCTAGAGCGTTCAGCTGTTTCTTTCGTGACTGCACCGACCTCACGCCACTGCACACTCCAGTCACTGTCGCCCTGGCTGACCCCTCCGTGGGACCTGTAGTTGCCGACAGCACCACCACTCTCCCGTGTCCAGCGGCTCCCTCTGGGTTTCTCACAGGTTACTACACCCCCTCGTTCTCTAGGAACTTGGTGGGTGTCAGTCACCTCCACGACCTCGTAGTTGTCACTACTTTCCCACTGCACGAGCCTGTTGCCTCCTGCACAGCCGGTGCCACTGGGGCGCCACTGGCCACCCTCCACAGGGAGCCGGGCTCTGGTCTGTACTCACTACACACTGGGTCCCACCACACTGGGTCAGGTCAGGTCAGGTCAGGTCAGGTCAGGTCAGGTCAGGTCAGGTCAGGTCAGGTCAGGTCAGGTCAGGTCAGGTCAGGTCAGGTAGCTACTGTGTCGTGCGACTGTCGGTCACTCACCCACCCGTCGGTCCTCTGGCACCACCATCTCGGTCACCCGTCGTTCCCACGTCTCAGTAGGATGGTACGTCACCGTCTGGTCTCAGGTCTCCCAGAGTCGCTTGCCCTGCTTCCTCGCTCGCATGCGCCGCCGTGCACTCCCTGCGTCGAGGGTCGGCAGCGCGCTGCCCCTCACTCCTCCTCATTCCCCCCCACCATGGCTCCCTTACAGACCCTGCACTTGGACGTCTGGGGCCACTCCCTGGTCCTTGACCCACGTAAGGAGCGCTACTTCCTGATTGTGGTGGACGAATAGTCCCGCTACACCACGGTTTTCCCCTTGCTACGGAAGGCCGACGTGCCTACCGTCCTCGAGCCGTGGCTACTAGCGAGGGGTGGCGCCTAGGGCCTGTGTGGGCTCCGCCTACACTCGGACCGTGGTGGTGAGCTTTCTTCCACTCGCCTGCAGACGTTCTGTGAGGGTCGGGGGATCATTCAGTCTTACACGCTACCAGACTCGCCACAGCAGAACGGGGTAGCCGATCGACGCATCGGCCTGGTCATGCAGTTTGCCCGTGTTGTAATTTCATATTTTACACAACATACATAGGCTAGAATTAGATGTGTAGAACATTTATAAATTGGGGGGTTGTTTAGTGTACCCTCCAACCACATTTTGTGGTTGCTTTGGATTGGTCCTTAGCTCAACCAATCCCAACCAACACACATTTGTGGTTGCTTGGGCCACAAGCAAGCTCACCCATTGGCCAACATTTTGGCCAATAGGGTAAGCTTCCCTCTCACCTCTCTCTTGCTCATTGTGTGTACTAAAGGGGCTCTTGGCTCATTATTCAATGTATCAATTATATCTTTCAACATGGTATCATGAGCTAATGGCTCACGCCTTCATCCCTCGGTCCTTAGGCCACCGTCTCCTCCCTGTCCCTCATATCTAGCCTTCTAGAATGGAGCTGCCATCTCTTCGCGCGCCCTTTAGGCGCTGTCCTCCCTCCCCGCGCGCCCCATAAGGCGCAGCCCTCTAAGGCACTGCTCCACGCACGTCCAGATCTGCAACTCCAGCGTCCAGATCTGCCTTCCTCAGATCTGCCCTCCCAGCTTCCAGATCTGACCTCCCAGCGCCCAGATCTGACCTCCCTGCGCCCAGATCTGACCTCCCAGCGCCCAGATCTGCCCTCCCAGGGCCCAGATCTGACCTCCCAGCGCCCAGATCCGCTCTCCTCGCGCTCAGATCTGCAACTCCAGCGCCCAGATCTACTCCTCCCGCGCCCAGATCTACTCCTCCCGCGCCCAGATCTACTCCTCCCGCGCCCAGATCTGCACATTTCGTTACCAGATCTGCACTCCGCGCGACCAGATCTGCATTCCGCGCGACCAGATCTGCACTCCGCGCATCCAAATCTGCACTCCGCGCGACCAGATCTGCATACCACGCGACCAGATCTGCACCTCCCGCGACCAGATCTGCACTTTCCGCACCCAGATCTACTCCTCCCGCGCTCGGATCTGCCATAGGGCTGCCCTCCTCGTCCCTACCCACAGCAGCATCATCAGCGGCATCTGCAGCAACGCCAACAGCAGCAGCACCCTTCCCCCTGCCTCCCCCATAATATCGCCCCCCCCCTCCTCCTCCACCTTCCCCCACCTTCCGCTCCTCCCTTCCTCCTCCCATCCTACCAGCAGCAGGACCAGCAGCAGCACCAGCAGCAGGACCAGCAGCAGCACCAGTAGCAGGACCAGCAGCGGCACCAGCAGCAGGACCAGCAGCGGCACCAGCAGCCGGACCAGCAGCGGCACCAGCAGCAGGACCAGCACCAGCACCAGAAGCAGGACCAGCAGCGGCACCAGCAGCAGGACCAGCAGCGGCACCAGCAGCAGGACCAGCAGCAGCACCAGTAGCAGGACCAGCAGCGGCACCAGCAGCAGGACCAGCAGCGGCACCAGCAGCAGTACCCTCGCCCCATCCTCCTCCTGCCCTTGTTTCCACCCACCTATGGCATCGTCGGATTCTTCCGTCGACCTTGCTACTGTTGATGCACTCGAGTTGCTGCCCGACAACACTGCTGCTAATTGGCACTCCTACGCTCACTCGGTCGAGGTTCTCCTCTCCTCTGTTGTGATCAGCGGCTACAACCTTCGCTCGGTTGTCTTCCAGGAAGGTGGTGGACTTCAGCCCGTGGCCCCCACCACTCCCACTGGACCTGTCCCCACCCACCCTGGCACCGAGCCCTCTCCCCCTGGAGATCCTCCCACCTTCGCACCGAATGTCAACGATCCGCAGAGCTCAGAGACCGCCATCCGCACCTACCGCACCAATCTCCAAGAGCACCTGCGCCAGCAACTGCGTTACGAGGACGAGAAGCGCATTTATGACGACGCCGCTGCCCGCTACAGCAAGTACCAGGAGGACCTTGACACGTACACTGCAGAACTTGCCGACTACACCACGAAAATCACTGCCTGGCGAGTTACCGATCGGCGCGCGCTTGCCATTCTTCTTGCCACCATCCCCTCCTCCCTCAAACGCGAGCTCTCACCTACCTCCTCCTCCCACCTGTGGCGACTCTCGTCGACCTTTTCGATCGGCAAGACGTTGGCACCCTCTACGCCCTCATCAAAGAATTCGGCACTCTCTCCATGGACTCCACTTCTGGCGCCGCTGCCTTCACTCGCCGTGTCCTAGACCTTGCTCGGCGCCTTGCGGCACTCGATGTGGTGTACCCGGACACTGTCATCTGCTGCCACCTCCTCGAGGGCCTCACACCTACCTTCGACGCTCACAAGCTTACCTACATGCAACTTCTCTCCAAGCACCATACCCCTGCTGAAGTTGGTCAGTGGATTATCACCACCGAAGCCAAGATCCTTCGCCACTCTACCTCCACAGTCGCAGTAGCTCAGCCGCGCAGCAGCAGGGGTGGGCGTGGCGGTGGGCGTGGGGGTGGGCGTGGTGGTGGGCGTGGGGGTGGACGAGGTGGATCACCGGGCCGCGGTGGCAGTGGTAGTGGTGGTGCGGGACGCGGTGCGGCAGCTGCCTTTCCTCCCTGTCAGTACCTGCCTCGCTACGGTCCCACTCAGGGACAGCGCTGCGGCCAAACCACTCATGCCACAGAGACATGCTTCAAGGCACTCAGTGATGAGTGGTATGCCCGTGGCAACACCGGCACCCCTCCTCGCTGGTCTGCCCTCAACCCACGCCCCACTCCCCTTGAAGTCCGTTCCTCTCCCCTCTATGAGCCTTCCTCCTCCACCCAGGCCCACCAGGCCCTTGTCCCTCCCCAGCAGCAGCAGCAGCAGCAGCAGCAGCAGCAGCAGCAGCAGCAGCAGCAGCTTGGGAGTCAGCAGCAGGGGTTACAGCAGTATGGGCAGCAGCTTATCCTTTCTCAGCTCCAGCAGCAGCTCCAGCATCTCCAGCAGCAGCTCGACCTACAGCCGCAGCTGCCCCTCCTCCCTCCTCCTCCCGTTTCCCAGCAGCAGCCCTTTCCTTCCTGGACTGCCGGGAGTGCTGCCTCCGCAGCCCATCTCTTGGATGCATCTCCAGCGCCGTCTGCAAGTGGCAGTGCGACCGCTTTCCCCTCTTCTGGTTTTGTCGGTTTGCTAGGTCAACCTGAATCTGTTGCATCTCCCATGTACCCTTCCTCCGTTAATGAAACTTCATTCCAGTACTCTGCCTCACCCTCCTCCACCCTTGAATTCGTCCTGGACAGTGGAGCCACTGACACTGTCCTTCGTGATGCTGGTACACTGCGCCCTCTCCCCACACCCACCTCCCTCCTCGGTGCTGATAGCAGTTTTTTCATCCCCTGTCACAACACCTCCACCCTTCCCTGTCCTCTCTTTCCTTCAGGTACTGTCACCGGTCTCCACATTCCCTCCCTACGCACTAACCTCCTCTCCCAAAGGTCCCTCCAACAAGCCAATATCACCACCATCTTCCCAGGTGGTGCTAACTACTGTGCCCTTTACAATACTGCTACAGGTCGCCTTCTCTCACGTATTCCCTTCTGTCCTCGTTCCCATCTGTACACCCTTCGGCTTCCCCGGCCCCCCACCTGCCAAGTCGCCTCTCCCTCTCTCCTCCCCCCCCCTCCCCTACCTCCCACTAACCCACTCCTCCCTCCCCGCCCCCCTGACTCTGACTGTTCCTGTCGCTCCGTCTCCCACCTTACCATCCTCCTCCATCACAGGCTAGGTTACCCTAACTTCGCTACTCTGCGCTCCTCTGTCTCCTCCGGTCTCCTCCACGGTCTCCCCTCCTCCCTCCCTCCCCTCCCCAAATCCCCTGCCCCCCCCTGCACTGTCTGCGTTTAGAGAAAGCTCAAGCAGCAGCCGCACCGGAGCTCCCCCTCTGCTGCTGCCCAGCCACTTGATCTTGTTCACATGGACCTCTGGGGCCCTAATCCCTCTCCCACTCGCCAGGGTCATCGTTACCTTCTCGTGCTCGTTGATGATCGCAGTCGGTATTCATCCGTCTCTCTCCTTCGAACGAAGGTGGACGCCCCGGCTGCGATCATCGCCTGGCTCGAGCGGGCAAACACCCATTTTGGGCGCGCTGTTCGCCGCCTTCACTCTGATGGTGGTGGTGAGTTCCTTAACAACCAAGTCTCCTCCTATTGTCAGTCTCGTGGCATTCTTCAGACTTACACCCTCCTCACTCCCCACAGCAGAACGGTGTGGCTGAGAGTCGTGTTCGAGAGAACACCAAAACAGCCCGGTGTCTTCTTGTCCACGCCTCTTGCCCCCCTTCTCTGTGGGGCTACGCCCTCCTTCATGCCGCCCTCCTTACTAACCTTTACCCTCACCCTCTTCTCCCTTCCACCACCCCCACTGAGCTGTGGACAAAGGACAAGCCTGATGTCTCATCTCTTCGTGTCTGGGGCTCAAAGGCATATGTCCTTATTCATCCTTCTGACCGCTCCCGTTCCATGGGCACGCTTGCCCCTCGCACCCTTCCCTGCATCTTCCTTGGCCATAACCCCTCCTCACCTGACTACCTTTTCCTCCATCCCCCCTCAGGTCGTCTAGTCCGCAGTAGGGATGTGATCTTTGATGAGTCCACTCCCTACTACTCCTCTCCCCCATCCACTGACCCACTCCCCCCTCTCACCCATCCCCTTGTCTGGTCTGACACCACCCCTCCCCCATTACTCCCTCCTCCCCCCATCCTCCCGCCTCCCCCCTCTCCGTCGTCCCCTACCCACGGTGCCCCTCCCTCGTCTGGTGATATCTTTGACCCGGAACCTCTGTCCTCTCCTGTCTCCCCCACACATTCCTCTCCAAGTGCCCCTCCCCCCCTCCCCTCCCCTCCCTCGCCACCGACCCGTCCTTCCCCTCCTCCCCGCACCGTACTTACCCGGTACCCCCATACCAGGTCACGTGACGGTATCCTTGGTGCACCACCCCCTGTTACCCTCTCTACCTCTACCCTCCCCCCTCTCTCCCCTCTCCTTCACCACTTCTTCCAGGCTGTTTTGCATCAACCTCCTCCTGCCGCAGCCCCCTCTGCCACCTCTCCCTCACCAGCAGCGGCGCCAGCAGCGGCACCAGCAGCGGCACCAGCAGCGGCACCAGCAGCGGCACCAGCAGCAGCACCAGCAGTGGCACCAGCAGTAGCACCAGCAGCCATTCCCGCCTTCCACACCTCCCTCTCTGAGGACTCCCATGAGGAGTTCCTTGACCTCCACCTCTGTGACCCCTCGCTTCTACCCATCACATTCGACCTCTCCGGCACACCCGTCTTCGCCTTCTCCCTTGCTCCCTCCATTTTCATCCCTACCACGTATGAGGAGGCAATGGCTTGCCTCGACGCCCCTCTCTGGCTCGCCGCCATCATCAAGGAGCTGGAGGCCTTTATCGCTAACTCCTCCTTCGTTGATGTGCCTCGCCCTCCCGCCTCTACAAACGTGGTGAAGGGGAAGTGGGTGTTTCACGTCAAGCAGCTGCCAGGGGAGCCGCCCGTCTACAAGGCTCGTTACTGTGCCAAGGGCTTCACGCAGCGGTATGCTGTTGACTTCTTCGATACCTTCTCCCCTACCGCAAAACCAGCTACCGTTCGCGCCGTGCTCGACCTCGCCGCTCGCCTCAATATGGAGATCCACTCGATGGACGTTTCTAACGCCTTTCTGCAAGGCGTCCTCCGCGAGCTAATCTACATGGAGCGTCCAGCCGGCTTTCACCTTCTCTTCCCAGCAGACTCTGTCTGGCAGCTGCGTCGACCTGTGTATGGGCTCCGACAGGCTAAGCTTGCCACCACCCTTGCTGAACTTGGGTTTTGCACCTCCCGCTCCGACGCCAGCCTCTTCCTCCGCGCCTCCCCCTCCCCCTTCTACATCCTTGTGTATGTCGATGACATGATTCTGCTCACCGCCGACCTTGCTGAGTTGGAGCGTGTTAAGGCTGAGTTGGGTAGCCGTCTCAAGTGCAAGGACTTGGGAGAGCTGCAGCATTACCTGTGCATGACCATCACCCGCGACCGCTCCGCCCGCACCATCTCTCTCTCCCAGGGTCATTACTTGCAGCAGGTCTTGGAGCGGTTTGACATGGCCCGAGGCGGTGCCCAACATACTCCTCTTTCTGTCGGGCACCACCTCTCTCCACCCACCTCTCCCTCAACCTCCTCCCATCCTTATCCCGAGCTCATCGGCTCCCTCATGTACGCCATGGTCTCCACTCGCCCTGACCTTGCCTACCCCATCAGCGTCCTCGCTCGTTTTGTTGGCGCAGGCAAGCATACGGAAGAGCACTGGCAGGCCGCCAAGCGTGTCCTCCGATACCTTCGTGGCACCAAGAACTATGTTCTTACCCTTGGCGGCCCCTCCCCACCTCTCCTCAGCGGCTACAGTGACTCCTCCTGGGTTGATTCTCGGCCGGATCGTCGCTCATCCCAGGGCTATGGCTTCTCTCTTGGCAGCGGCCTTATCAGCTGGCGCTCCACCCACTCCTCGGCTATCGCCCTCTCATCCTGCGAGGCGGAGTTGTATGCCGCCACCATGGCTGCGCAAGAGGCCCGCTGGCTCACCTTCCTACTTGAGGAACTTGGTGCCCCCCAGCGCTGTCCCACCATCTGGTGTGACAATGCCAGTACCATTCACCTCACTAAGGATGCTGTGTTTCACGGGCGCTCCAAGCACATTGAGCTCCGTCATTTCTTCATTCGCGATCTTGTTCAGGCGGGGCACCTTCGGCTTGACAAGGTTGACTCGGCGGCCAACCTTGCGGACATCTTCACAAAAGCTCTTCCTCATGCGGCTCACTCTTCACTACTTTGTCTCCTTGGCCTCACTCCTCCTAAGTCGCATCCCGCCTCTTGATTCTAGCCTTCTAGCCTTATGCATGTTGGGGGGTTGTGTTGTAATTTCATATTTTATACAACATACATAGGCTAGAATTAGATGTGTAGAACATTTATAAATTGGGGGGTTGTTTAGTGTACCCTCCAACCACATTTTGTGGTTGCTTGGGATTGGTCCTTAGCTCAACCAATCCCAACCAACACACATTTGTGGTTTCTTGGGCCACAAGCAAGCTCACCCATTGGCCAACATTTTGGCCAATAGGGTAAGCTTCCCTCTCACCTCTCTCTTGCTCATTGTGTGTACTAAAGGGCCTCTTGGCTCATTATTCAATGTATCAATTATCTCTTTCAACAGCCCGGACCTCCATGTGCCATGCCGGTGCCCCCCAGTTCTTGTGGCCTGCGCACCAGCTGAACCTGTGGCCTAGTGACGCACGGCCATAGGTGACGCCGATCTCCCTTTGGACACGTTTTCCCGGCGTAGCAGCTGACTACCGCATCTGGGGTTGTCTGGCTCACGTTCGCGCCCCTGTCGCGAACAAGTCGTCTGCGCGCACCGTGCCTGCGTCTTTCTTCGCTTCCCACTCGACGCCTCAGGCTGGGTGTTCTACGACCCAGTCACCCACTAGTTCTTTGCCTCTCAGGACGTCAATTTTGACGAGTCGGTCAGTTACTACAGGAGTCGCCCCCACCAAGGTTCTGAGGCATTTTTCCCCCTGCTGTTCCTCACCCTTGAGCCCCCCCCAGTCGCCCCGGTAGCCCCACCCCCTTTGCGTCCTGCCCCGTCAGGTGTGTTGCACGTCACTCCGCAGTCGGCCCCCCCCCCCCGCAGCGTCCAGTCCCTATCGTGTCTGGGGGTGCAAGAGGTGCAGTTGCGGAGGGTGAGGGTACTGGGGCTGCAGGAGCCCGTGGTTCCGGCTCTAGGGGTGCAGGGTGTGTGAGAGTGGAGACCACTCCTAAGGAGGACACGACTGTCTCGACTCATCGGCCTCGCCCCGCCTCACCCTCTGGCTTCCCGTCTGTTCCGCAGTTCCCTCCTCGTTCGCCTCCGCGGCCGGTCGCGGCGGAGCCTGGGGGTGTTCCTGCCGGAGGCACTGGAGTCCCTTGGGGTGTTGTCGGTGGAGGTTCTGGTTTTGGGGGTGCTGGAGCCGGAGACACGAGCACTGCGACGCCTACGCCGCGCACTGTGCGTTTCCTGAACCGTGTGCAGCGTTTAGACAGGTTGGAGAGCGAGGAGCGGG